ATGGGTTTTTATCATGTCAAAATAATCTAAATCTACAAGAGCATACTTAAACAAAAAGAGCTCTAAAGTTTAGCTTTAAATACTTAGGTCGTAGTGTTTTTAGAATTATCATAACAACACGATAATTCTAAAACAAACCATGCTCTAAGTGTTTAGAGCTAAACATTTTTTTTTATCGATTATTACTCCCTTTGAAAGAAGCTAATCGTCGATAACAGGTGTCCTACTCTACGACAAAGGCGCGCGCGCACTTGCGCCGTCGTCTGAAGAACGCCGCGTGCCTCGTGCCGCTTGTTTATGAACACCGCCAAAAGACACCGCTGTGAATACGTCGCAATAGTTTGCACTGCGTGGCAACGTCGCTTTTTAATGTTCAAGGATTCAAGTTCATTGAATCATTGACTTAGTGACCCAAGTAGAGTTGGTGGTGGTGTAGAAAGTGGCTGTGACGAGTTCTTGGACTTCTTCTAGTATTTTTTCAGCTAGTAATGCAAGTACTTCTTAAGTCGTTGTGCTGCCGAAGCAGCTCTCACTTAGGGCGAGGACTGAGCGAACGTGAGTCGAAAGAAGCTTAGTCCACATCATACACAGTGTCAAGTCTGATGTCTTGTCCCTTGCAAAGTTTTGCATTCGCCGTAGTAGTTGCGTTGGCTTCTGGTCGTCGAGTTTCATTTCAGCGTGAAACTTCTGAAACTGGCAGCTCTCGCTCTCTTCGTATACTGATATGAGACGTTATTTGATGGCATTGTACTGCTACTCTTAGTAACGTCGAAGAGGATGTCGGATATTTGTTCGATGTCGGCCTTCTCTAGCTTCACGAGCACCATATGATCTAGCTGTGATGAGCTTCTCTTGAGGTCGTGGCTGCTTCAAAAGTCATGTACCATAGCCGTGGATTTTCACGACACAAAGGTGGAATGCGCATTGAAAGTGCAATGCTTGACGGTGGACTAGCTGGTGGAGGCCCGCCAGCGAATCTGATATTCTTTGAAGCTTCCATTATGGCTGGTTTGTCGATTTTGTTCCTGGGTTATTTCGAGCGGGATTCTACTTGTTCTTCTTCTTCAGAGTTCTTTGATTCGGAGGTCACCGCTTTACAAGTTAAGGTTTTTATATTGAAAAACTTGTAATGAGTAGGATGCGATGAATGATTTATTGCCAAAAAATTTCCATAATTTCTGACTAATGAAAATGTCTACATGAAAATATTTTTCAATCTTAACATTACGATATCGAATAAAAATTTTAGTGTTATCTAACATGCGATTGATCGTAAATATGAACGAGATGACGATAGCGCGAACTTTTTGTACTCTTGGATCCTAAGAAACGTCGCGCGCGTGATTTCACGCGGACGGCGGAGATATAAATAGGTACGCCGTGAATGACAACGACGCGCCATTTTGTAATCTGTAGTCCTGCTGCGCCTAGTAATGGACTCGTAAAGTAGCTCTTCTCAGGACCACATCATGCTTCATGCTGACAATTTAATAGCTCTTTTCAGATCTAACTTTCCTGTTTCACTAGATGTAGAGTGTACTTACATTTCTGTGTGTATTATCGAAATAACTGCCTTATAGTGAGCTTAGGGGATTATTTGCTTACCGCTTCTGTCAGGGCTCATATATAAAAGAACTGAAACGATTGTAATAAAACATCACGAACAGATAGTGATCTAGACTATTATTTTAACCGAAAAACTTGAATAGTTTATTGTAAAAACGAAAAAAATTATATAATAAATGGTCCTTGTTGATTATCCTAAAAATCCTAATGACTAATTAAATTACTAATAGAGATCATCCAGACGAACCCGGGTCGGGTTGCTAGTTTTTAAATGGAGTTTAGGTTAGAACTTGCCACCGGTGGATTGTTGCTCCTGTATTATCGTTTAATTAATGGTTTGAAGTGGATTTTGATAAGTGGTTTGATTTTTAAACGGTGTTACATATGCTTCGATAGTGATATGTCACAAGTTTTTTAACAGCTTGAGTGGCTTGAGATACTATCTTAACGTTATGAATTGTCCACTGAGTTAAGTGTCGTCAAAATCGCTTTAAAACGCAATGTGACGCATCAGCATATTAAAAATAAATATGCAAAAATACTCTTAGACTAGGCTGTATGATTTAAGACTTTTGCTTTCCATAATTAGTAATTCTTAACAACACCTGTGATTGTATAGTGCCACCAACTTATAAGTTTAAGACCAAGACTAAGCTTGGGCGTTTTCAGTTTTTAGCTGCAACGGTTACATAACCGATATTTAGTTTTCATATCGTTATTGAAATTTTTTTCAAATATCGATATCAGTAGTAATGGCTTGCTACTGAATGCGCAACGACAACCGAAACATAACCGAAAACTGTAGAACCAGTGCAACATTTATTTCACTAATTACTTCGATTATTTTAGTTTAGAAGTCAGAGGCTCTAATATAATCTTAGATGTAATATTTAGTCATGTGTTAATATATAATTTATGTAAATTCATTGTTATGCAGTAATATAGTATTATATATGTCTAAAATTACATTCTTTCTATCCTTATTTATTTCTATAATGTTTATACCCATTTTTTTTAAAGTGAGATGTAGGATCAGATTTTGATTTTAAAGTCTTTCAAAGAATAATTAAAGTGTATTTATAAGAAGTAAATATAATTTATATAATATATAGAACATTATTTTAGGTAGTTTATTTATTAATGATTATTTACGTTGGCATTTTCCTTCACACTTAACTAGGCTTAGGACTATGAGAGAAATTTTAAAACTAATGTACAAAATGCTCACAAATATTCCAAATTAATGCACAAACGCAATGTCATAAATTAATGATTTTACAGATAATTTCATAATGAACGGCACACGTCACTAAGGTTAAGTGCGTAATTGTTGCGCTTTGAAAAAAAAATTCAAATTCTAAACTTTCCATCCAAAACATAAACAAAAAGTTACCTAAAAAATATAATGTAATCAATACAAATCTAAGTTTTGTGTCTAATATACTAAAGATTTTAATTTGACAACTTTCACAACTACACAAACTTAAAAATAAGGCAATTTTAACAATTTAAAATTCGACCTTATTGTTAACGATCTTCAGGGTGACCATATGTGGCAGGTTCCTGCCATTTTGGCAGGATTGGCCTCTTATTTTAGCCTCTGGCATGATCGGTTGACGTTTTATAAAACCTGGCAGTATTCGGGTATTAAAAATAGCTGGGCAACTTAAAAATGCCGAAAATGGCAACCCTATGTACTTCGCCAGCATGTGGGGGATTTCCCTGTACTTCTAGTGTTATGTTTGTAACACATTCAATAAACAACTTTAAAAGTATGGGTGTAAAGTTGATAACCTTAAAACGAGTATTCGTAAACACGAGTTAATGGTTAATATTTCAATCAGTCATAATAGAAGAGACGTACTTTAGTTTGTTATCGCATTAGATTTCGTGGAGCAAGATATTTTTAACGATATTTTGTCAATGATGTTTCGTGGACGATATTAATTATTGATGTTGATCATAAAGCGAAAATATGAAAAGCCGTATATAGCGCAGTGGAGTAAGGTCCTTTACTTTCATCGTGGATCTTCAAAGCTCAAAAATCAGATCCAAATTGGCATCCGGGCTGCTGTCTGCTTTAAAGGAGCATGCCACTGCTTGTAAACATAAAAAAAACATCCGTGAGTGTCGTGGAAAACTCGATTGGAACGAAGTTCCTTTCGTAGTGGATTGTAATTAATAAACGTATTATATTATTGATTAAAAAATACAAATAAATGAATTATTAGCGTCTAAAAATGAAGCGTTATTTAAAATAAAATAATATTTCTTTCATGGCAAAATAATGAAAAGTGCGAGGGAGATGGATATTATTTCGTATGACGTAGTTTACACTACGTCAGAAGCGGTCGTGACTGAAAAGATCTTACACTTTTTCTCGCCTAGTCCCCATCCGTCTAATTCGTACCGTCCGATAAGGAACTTAATCCGATAAGGAAAAATATTTTTGGATTCAACATGCGAAAGAATATTCTGTTAAATAAATCTAATTAATACAAAAACACGAAACAGATTTAGATATAAACAAACATGTAACGTCTATCTTGCACGTTAAACAAGGCATTGGTGAGCATGGCGATTGCATTGCATTCAAACCAACGAAAGATGATTAATTTAATAAAAATATAGCATTCATATATGTATTTTTACTTTTATTACTTTAACACAATTAGACAATGGTAAATAAAGTTGGCAGTATTTAGGCATTTTTCACTACAGACTGGCAGGATGTAGCAGGTTTTTAACCAAAGTAAGGCAGGATCTGTATTTTAAAGATGGTCACACTGACGATCTTACTGTTTATTATATTTCACTACGTGCACCGTTGTGTGATAACTTCCAAAATATCACAACGGAATTCATATTCGCTTCATCTTTTTCCATACCTACGTATTTATGATACCGTCTCAAGAAACAGGAACAACGAATATCAACGAAGGACATCGGTTAGTTCGTGGGCCGTGTTGGCATATGGTTCCAATTTGCGTTTTACGTTTCGTACGTTGGTTAGCTGGTTTTGGTTGGATATGTGATAACGGTTATGTATTTAGGTTTATCGATATGATATGATATGATATTTGATAGCATAACGTTATTATTTACGTTTTGATATATTGGTCCATGCTTATTGAAGACAGACTTAGAATATTATGCTGGCGTACTAAGTCTATGGTTCAAGACGATTCTATAGTCTATGGTAAGTTTGTAAAGAAAATGGCGGACGAGTCTATATCAATAAATATGTCGAGTTGTTTTTTAAATGAACACAATGTAGGGTATGCAGAATGAAATATAAACATAAAAAATAATTAATTGAAGTGTTTGTTTTATGAACTTTGAGTGTAAGGAATTTGTGTCGTTAATTATGTAAGAATAAATACGCAATCAGTCTTATTTTCAATGGTTCGAGCAAACTACCCAAATGCAGAAAAATGGGAGTCTCCCATTATTTGATGTCGATTGCAGCAATTTTGTTTTTGGTTCCATTTTCTCAGCAAACTGAAAATTATGAATGTCCTCAAAAATGTGATTGCCTAAAACAATATGTGGATTGTTCTAAGAAGAATTTAATTTCTGTGCCAAGAATTCCAGAGTGGGTGGAACAATTGGACCTAAGCTTTAACAGATTAAGTGAAGAAGTTACAAAGGATTTTGATAAATTATTCGCTTTGAAGATTGTCAAATTAGATAAAAACGCTCTACATAATATTCCTAATTTTCTTGAAACAAACCAAATTGAAGAAATCAGGTTGAATAGGAATAGTATTGAGTTTATAGATGGAGGACACTTCTCAGTGAATTGTTCTGTCAAGACTTTGAGCCTAAATAGTAATCTAATTCGAGTGATTGAAGAAGGAGCTCTTGATAACTTGACCAATTTGATTGTTCTTAAGTTGAACCGTAATGAGATATCATCACTGCCTAATCATTTGTTTATGCGTCAGTCAAAACTAGAAGTTTTGGAACTTAATCATAACAAATTACATGTTATAAGTGGTCTACTATTTCAAGGCTTATCTAGCTTAACAACCTTGAAATTAAAATTTAACAATATAGATAATATAATGGATGGAGCCTTTTATGGTTTTAAGTCAGTTAATTTATTGCAATTAGATCATAACAGAATTAAGACCATTTCTAAAGGCTGGATGTATGGACTAGAATCACTGATTACATTGTCATTATCTAACAACTTAATATCTAGGATTGACTTGGGAAGCTGGGAGCTTTGTACAAATTTAGAAATGCTTGATTTATCACATAACTTTTTGATGGAGATAGAAGGGCGCACACTTCAACATTTAATCAATCTTCACACATTAAACCTCTGTAATAATAATATTTCCTCTGTGTCTCAAGAAGCATTTAGTCATATGGTCCAGCTGCAAACATTACTATTGAATAATAATAAAATATCCTGGACTGTAGAAGATATGTCTGGTCCATTTGCAAAACTTCAAAATTTGAAATTGTTTAATCTTTCTGATAATCACATAAAATCAATAAACTCAAAAGCTTTTGATGGTCTAGTAAATCTTGTAGAATTGGACCTAATGGGTAATAATATAACATCCATCCAACAACATGCATTTGAAGCCATGGCAAAAATAAAGAAATTTCACTTAAATTCTTCATCACTTTTATGTGATTGTAACCTATTATGGATTGTGAAATGGATTAAAGACAAATTGGAACAAAAATATATTACTGCTACTTGTGCCTATCCATCGGAACTTCGAGGTGTATTAATTTCCAAGCTTAAAGAAGAGAATTGTGGGGATTCACCAAAACCAAAAATTGTTGAACATCCCAAATCACACCTTGCTATTAAAAGTAAGTCTGCAAATTTGATATGTACTGCAACATCAAATCCTTTTAGTAACATGACATTCCTGTGGCGGAAAAATAATGGAAATATAAGTAATCCCACAGTTTTTGAGAATGTTACAATGTCAAAAAAGGGGCAATCACAAGCCACATCAGTTCTTATTATACCAAATGTCACTAATGCTGATTCTGGAAGATACCAATGTGTTGTAAGTAATAAGTTTGGAACAACATATTCAACAAAGGCAAAAGTTAATATTGTTACATTTCCTCGATTTCTTAAAATGCCATCAAATGTAACAGTCAGAACTGGAGAAACTGTAACACTAGATTGTGCTGCTACTGGAGATCCCTCACCAGAAATATCTTGGAAAAAAGATGGTGGAAATGATTTTCCCGCAGCCAGAGAGAGGAGAATGAATGTGATGCCTTCTGATCCCCGATTTTTTATTGTTAATGCAAAAACTACAGATATGGGTATTTATAGCTGTGCTGCTAAAAACCATGCTGGTACTATTATTGCTAATGCTACATTAAATGTACTACAGGAACCATCTTTTATAAGAGTAATGGAAAACAAAGAAGTAACCAGTGGTGATTCAGTTGTTTTGCAATGTATGATATCAGGTTCTCCTAAACCTGTTTTAAAGTGGCTCAAGGATGGAATACCAGTGGTTCACACTGATCGCCATTTCTTTACTGGAGATGATCAGCTGTTGGTAATAGTCGGAGTAGAAGCAAATGATGCCGGTAAATATGAATGTGAGATTACTAATGAGTTAGGCACTAAAAAAGATATGATAGAATTAAAAGTATTACCTCCAGTGGCAATTATGGTTAATGAGGAGGATATGACTGGTATTATTATAATAACTGTTGTGTGTTGTGCAGTGGGGACATCTATTATTTGGGTGGTAATAATTTATCACACTAGAAGGCGTATGGCAGCAGCTGTACATACTTTCCCAGGTGAAAGTGTGAAAATGACACAAGTGGTTCATAGTGATTGCGATTCACCTCAAATGTTTCCGGACAATATATCTGAACATTCATCATGTAAAGATAGTGGTACAGGTGATTCTGCGAAACAAACAAGCTTTGATGGAGTGCCCACAGAAAGAAGTGATCAGGTGCATTTTGAGACTGCTGTTTGCAGGAGTTATTCTCCTGTACCTGAGGCGCATAAACTTTTACCTTCGTCTTTTAAGCCTTCAATTCAAGTGTGTGTAAATACATCTGTAACACCAGCTACTTATAGTTTTTCTAGTCACAGTGGTAATGTTTAGATATAAACATAAATTTATGTAATGAAAACATTGATAAGGTTATTATTATTAGTTATGCAGTTTCACTAACTGGAATTATTTTTTGTTTTATTATTTAGAAACTTGAATGTATTTCTATTCAAATTACTTTAAAAACTATAATATTTATCTCGAGTGTCAAAAATATATTATTTAATTCCTATAATTTTGTGTAGTAGGATATCATGTATCAGTAAATAATAAATAATGCTTTGTGGTATTCTTTGGGGCGGCCTATGTTCAGCAGTGAAATTGTGATGGACTGTAATAATGTTGATTTTGAAATAATATTTCTAGTTAGTGAAACAGTATTAAAATAGTTAATATAATCTTAATTGTGTAGTACAAAATGTAACAAACTTGCCAGTATTGGTTTGATGTAAAAGACTGAATGTCATTGTTATTTTTAATATTGATAAGGCACTAAATATAAATAGATTTTATTTCAAATGTTATAATTTTATAGCCCTTAGTGTCAACCTGGATCACTTTGGTTATAACTTTGTGATGGAAATGGTAGCTGTTTATTTATGTTTATGTTATGAGATTGTAAACTTATTTATATTTAAATTAATTTTAAAAATTATTAGTTTCATTAGATAAACAATGTAAATTTGACATTTACCTATTAATGAATGAGTTATAATTCAATATAGATTACCTTATTGATGGGCTTATAATCATAGCCATGCAAAAATGTTGATGTAGAAGAAATTTATGTCTGTATAAAAGGAGTGAGATTTTAGTATATGGGCACAAATTGTAAATATTAATTTTGGAAAGCAGGAGCAATTCTTGTATTATAAACAACTGATTTAACCTAATCCAGACATTTGGTAAATGTTACATAAATAGTAACAAGTAATAAAAATGCTATTCACTAATTATGTACATCATTATTAAAAAAAAATAGTGCTTTTGATTACTTAGTCATTGATTAGTACACCATTCATAACAGTTATTTATTAACTAACCAAAAATATAATAATGGAAATGTAAATATGATACTGTAACAACTCAAGGTGGTCAGTGCCTTCATTTCTAATAAAGATTTACTCCTATTAGCATACATCATTTGTACACCATTGTTAAAGCATTCTTGCTTGCAAAATGATATTACTGTACATTGCTGTTAATTATTATTTTATTATTATTGTAAACATTAATAATAGAAAATAATTAACTTGAGTAGGGGACACCTTTGTTAAGTTTATGCATTAATCACAAAGTGAAAATATTAATTTAATTTTTTTTTTTACTTTTACTGTCTACTCGTATTTAACCATTTTTTGAGAGGAGTAAAAAAGACGCACAGTTCTGCCCTTTTTGTAAATAATAAGTATAATTTTGTTCTATTAAATGTTCAAAAATGGCCTAAAATTTTCACACGGTCTACTCAACACTTAAACATTGCAAATAATTTTTGTATTGCATATATATAACACTAATAATAAAGGATAAACTTTAACATTATATAAAATCGTAGAAAATGTTGTCATAAACATTATTTTATTGCCTCTGATAAGTTTTTAGTGTGCTTTTACCATAATTTTCTATGCAAATTATGTGTATGATTTCAACGATAAGCATTTGTAATTAATGTAAGCAGTTTTGTATTATTTATACAATTGGACATATACGTGTATAAGGTAACTACTATTTATATACTTTATAGAATAAAGTCGTCCGTAAAATAATATTGTTTTATATTCACAATTCCCTCACATGGCTTATCCTTACACCAGTGGAATATTTTATAGACCATCAAATTTTTAAGAAGCTTTCTTTTAATCTACACTACTATTATAAAGAGGAAAGATTTGTTTGTTTGTTTGAATTGAATAGGCTCCGAAACTACTGGACTGATTTGAAAAATTCTTTCACCATTAGAATCCTACATTATCCCTGATGAACATAGGCTATATAATATTTTCAAAAAAAGTTAGGGATCCGTATGAAAACTTCGTTAATGTAACCCAAGGTGTGAAAAAATACCAAAAAGAATCCTTATATCGCGTCCGCTGCGGAAATTATTGATAATAGAGCAAAGTAATGTACTTCAGCTTTATAGAAGTTATCAATATCTACAAAAAAGTCTGGGATACCATATGTTTAACTATTACAGTTATGTCACAATAACTACTTTTTCATGTTAAAATGTGAAATAGTAACGCCGGTACAAAATAGGCCACATTATTCGTATCAGTACCTGTGTCATGCATAACCACCAATTACGTTAACCATGTAATTTTAGTAACATATTTCACTTTTCAAATCTTTGTTAATTCTGTCTCTCTCAAAGTTCGCATGTCGCAAGGCGCAGACGCGTGATATACGCGGGTGAAACCGCGGGGCACAGCTAGTTAATCCTATAGTTTTCGATTATTACAGTGGTACTGGATTATGAACCACTTATTCTTATATAATATAGTCAAACAAAGTCAATGAATATTAGCAACAGAAATATAATTCACACTGATTCTGTATGTAACCATTTCTATTTCCAATAAAACTAACCATGTAGGTCTAACACTCCCCAACCTTGTGTTTAGCTGTATGTTTGCCAGAAAGGACAATAGATATGGTTACCGTGTACTTTACACTCCTTTTTTTCTGTATAAAAGTGCTTTTTACTCGAGGATTTTAAAAAAATGTTCTACAAAGTGGAAGAACTTGTTTTCTGCTTAGGAGTCTGTCTTGATTGGTTAATCATTAATTTTTTCTGCTACCAAGCCAAAGGAGAAACACTGCTGTGTTCCGGTTTAAGAGAGCCAGTGCAATTTACAAGTTGTGACGTACGTCTTAGCAGTTGGGAGTAAGGCAACGCACCTGGCGCCCTTTCCTTGAAAATCGCTGCCAATTCTCAACCTCGTCATCGTTGAGATATCTCAACACTGATCAGTTGTAACTTCGTCATACTGAAGTTCCTCATATTTTTCTGGCGAACATCAGAACTAGACCAGGTCTACTTTCTGTGGGGCCGCCTATCCCAAATATCTCTATCATTAACTGTACTTGCTACAGTTAATGATAGAGATATTTGCTATCGTATTATAGCGGCGCTGTCGTTGCGCCACATACGTAAGCGAACCGAAGCCTAAATTAGTGTTCGAACGACTACATGCCGCTACGGGCTTTACCTTGGCTGGCGAGTGACCACCCCTTTTCATTCCACGACATAGTCGCCCATCAAAACGTTATTTTAACGTGGTGGAGCCATGCTGCGCCTATATTATGGTTGCAACACGAATGAGTCGGCTCGAACAAACAAGGACCACGTTCTCACAGAATAGTAGCTTAATGTTTCCGTTCCGCACAGTGAGTGTAGAAAACCGGAGGCCCCTTTTACTGGTAACTATCTCAGTCCCCTGCGTGACAATGCATCAGGAATTTTGATTCTTAATGGAGAATAGATTTAGGTGTCTATGGCACAGTAGCCGCTTACCATTAAGTGGACAATGTGCTTGTTTGTCACCCTAGAAAAACAAACAACGTTTCATATAATTACCTAAGTACTATTCATTGATGATAAAATGATGCATAGGCCGTGTAGTCACCTTATTTCGTCCTGTGGGTGACGTAGGAGACGAGAACTAAAGTCCTGTGAGCCTCCGATAGATAGCGTAAACCATCTCGTATAATATGATTGATGAGTAGGTAGCGTCAGAGGTGAGAGATATCTGGTGCTGCGGTCACCTGTCCGCGTGCCAAGCCTGGCAATTATGGCAAATACTTACTAAAATGGGGACATGGGAGAGCCCCATATCCAGCAGTGGACTGTTACTGCTTGATGTAAGAGAAGTAAGTATATGCTGCAAAGATCTAATTATATTTTTATGTATGTTTTCATTATATTTAGAACTAGCGTAACACGTTGCCTTGGCTTAAAGATGTATAAAAGAACTTCCGGAGATTTATGATTTTGAACAAACAAACTCGTAAACTTTTATTGATGTACCTAAATCAATATATCGTCGTTGTCAAACCAAAATCTGCTATGTGCACTTTTATGAGATTTTAACATTTTGACTAGGAAGGGTAGTTCACAAATCAATCTTTCGTATGAAATAACTGTTATGTGCTTTTGAGGACTGTACGACGAACCATGATAACTTTTCAAAACATGCTATGTGCAGCAGCTAGAATATTGTCAATTATATAATACCGGCTATGTGACAAACAAGCACATAGCATATTTTATTTGACCACGGTCAATTATGATTGTTTAGTAGAATATCTGCTGTGTTTAGTCTAAACACAAAACTACATTAACATTACATAAAATAGCGAGTAAGTAATAGATAAATAAGTGCATGTTTTGTAAATCACTTATTAGTCTCAAGAAATTTTACACTAATAAATCAGATAATAAACTAAAGTAGTTCGTACCCATAAATTACCATTAAGTTGACGGCAGATAAGTTAATTTTTAAACCACTGATTAGTTCCAAGGATCGTACGTCCTTCAAAATAATAAATTAAGCTAAAATTGTTTGCACCCATAATTTACTGATAAGTTGACAGGCAAGTAAGTTCTTTCCAAAGTGTTTTGGGTATAGCTAGATAATCTTAAGGACCATATTTTTGAATATTCGCCTACTGCTACTAGGCTCAAGGGTCCCATGCTCGTACAATAAAAATACATTTTGTATTAGAAAAAGTTATTTCTATTTTATCTCTCGAGTTTACTACGTAGCACAGTTAGTTAATAAACTGTATTAACTTGTAAAGTACTTTGCACAAGTTATGCAGTGAAAAATAAATCTGTGGTTTTTGTTTAAGCTTCAAAATGAGACGGGGAAAGAAAATAGTTAACTTAGTTTTAACGGCCAGTGATGAAAAATGTTTACAAGAGGAAAGTTAACATCCAATATGCCAAGAACCTCGCAGAGAACCCATGCCTCTGAATCAAACCCTGTTAAATTCCACAGGAGAATGATCAACCGCCTATACCCTCCAGCAGTGAAAAGAACGTGTCGGTAAATTCATCCCCTGAATGAAAAAATAGCCCACCCTTTCCTTCAATCACCAAACGAAAGCGTTACATTGTTTATAGTAGCGATGATGATGACAATTCATCAAATCCTATCCAGGAGTTGACAGCGAACATCGAAATGCCAAGCAGCTCTCAATCGAAAGCCAAACGCCACCGTTTACTGGGTAAACAATACATGGATTACCAGAAAAAAGATTGAAAGCTCGTACAAATACAAAGCATCCTAAGAGAAGCCAGATCGGTAGAAACTCGTTGTAATGATACTGCAATAAAACAAAAAGCTAAAACTAGTTTTATGTGTGGTTTAGTATCAGAATAAGAACGAGCTGTATTGCGTGTCAAGTTTTGGAATATGAATCTATGGGGTGAAAAAAAAGCTGTTGCACAAAGATTAGTGTCCAAAAGAAACTTTCGTAAGCAAAGAACGCGTGATGATTCTGTTACTGTCAGGAAAGAAACTGCTTTTGATATTTTTTGTACCTGCGCTTGATTCTCAAAATACCAAATTAAAAGTGTGCAGAATGTTTTTTAAACACAGTTGATATCGGACGTGATTCTTTCTTACGCTGGGTTAAATAAAGATACATCAGCAATGGCAGTAATGGCAGATGACAATGAATCCCCTACTTTGATACCCGAAGTTGATAGTGTCCACTCTACTATAGAACATTATATAAAGCCGTCTATTTATAATATAATAATAATAATATTCCACAACTATCACACAACGCCATCTAGTCCCAAGCTAAGCAGAGCTTGTGTTATGGGTACTAGACAACTGATAAACATACTTATATATTTCTAAATACATAAATATTATAGATAAGTTATACCCAGACACAGAACAAATGATCGTGTTCATCACACAAACATTTGTCCTGGGTGGGAATCGAACCCACGACCTTCGGCGTAGCAGTCAGGGTCACTAACCACTAGACCAACAGGCCATTTATGCACCTCAAGAATGCGTCAAGCGGGTCCCAAACTACCCTATGATATTAGAGTAGTTCATTTTGATTTTTTCAAGGATTATGAGTATTTCAACACCAATTTTCAGTATATTCGACCAGGTAAAAAGAAGGGTGATCCCACTGTGAATGACTACAGAGCATTTTTGTATAAGTCTACTGGTGAAGTGTACTTCAAACTTCGCCATCCACAAGAGTACACAATTTTGCCACAACATAGGCAGCTTTCTCAACAGTAGCCTGAACCTTCGGCATTATATGACAGGTCATTAGAAATAATTCAATCAAAGTTCAACCAATTACAAGAATTAAAACCATTTATAGACTGAGACTACCATCCATTTTATGATTGTTTAAGATTTAAGTCTGATTAAAACGTATTGTTGGTATTAAAAGTATAGTGTAAATCAGATATCTTTTTCTGGTTTTAAAAATTCGCCTTCATATTAAATTTTACAGGAGAACGTTTTCCTTTAATATCTCAAAAGTATACTTTTTGCACATAACAGATATTGGTTTGACAACGACGATATATTTACTTTATTTATTGTTTTCTTTAGCCAGGTTATGGACAACCAGGTTACGGACAACCAGGTTACGGACAACCAGGCGGACAACCAGGCTACGGACAGCCAGGCGGGCAACCAGGTTACGGACAACCAGCTTACGGAGGTCAACCAGTTGGCCAATTAGAAATAGGCCATGGGCCATATCCATCAGTTGGAGCAGGTGGAGGAATTTCACCACAAGTACAGCAATGGTTTGCTGCAGTGGATAAAGATAAGTCAGGATTTATATCAGTCCCTGAATTGAAATCTGCTTTAGTAAACGGTCAAGGTCAAAATTTTTCTGATACAGCATGCCATCTAATGATTGGTAAGTAGTTTACTTTTTGAATTTAATAAATTACACTTGAATACGAATATGACAGTCACCATTTGTCAGTAAATCTTAAAATAGGAATCGCATCTCTGTCCCCGGCAATGCTGATGTTTTCGAGGGGAGGCTAGTAGCTTGATGAATTCAAGGGTTAGGATCTTCAAAAAAAGGCTATAGTATCTATTAAAGCATTGAGTCACTGTTTTTTTTATTAAGTCCCTATTTGTCACCAATCCAATTCAATTAAATCTTGACAATATAATTGAGGATATTCTGGCTTAAAACTACTAAAACAAAACGACATTTACCTACTGCGTGTGGCTCCAAGGCAAATGAGCATCAGCCCACATTAAACATCGTCCTCGATTTCTACGTCACAGAGCTGGAGAACTCTGTGATCTGCGAGTGCAAATGTTTACTTCATGTAATCTTCTCTTAGCAGTTCATCACTGGTAAGCACTTGGTGTTGGGATTGGAGTTTTCTTACCAGCTGGTGAGCTGTAAGTTGGGGCTGCCTCCTTACAGTATTTTACAGAAAATGGTCAGTAAAGCACTGGGGTAGTGATCCCGTATCTGCTTTGGTGACTTTTGTGCTACATATGTAACCCTGTAACACCCTTCATCGACAAATTACTCTTAATTGCGTAATAAAAGTGTTCGCAATTTCGCATGGACTGTGCCCAGCTTCTAACATATCCCCAGCCCTTAACATCCCTTCCTCGCGTTAAATTACGATGTTCCATAAGCTTAGTTACAAAAGTTGCGGGAAAGCTTGTAATTGCATAAAACAAGAAAAACGTAATGAAAATTGATAATAAGTACTTTTTTTTTACATTCGAAAACTCCATAGAATTTACAAATTTCAGTGGCCTGTTACTAATTTACTAACATGTAAGTAACAGGCCAATTATTGACAGTTTAACTTGTCAGTCGATCGGGAACTGAGAACCGTACAGGGGGTGTAAAATGTACGTAGTGTGGAAGGGTGCGTGTCGAGCCTGTCTGTGGACGCGGCACGTCCCAACAGTTATCCTATTAGTGTATTATTGTATCACTATGTGAATGCGTACATTGTGTAGTGTCATATGAACCTGCAACTTTTGAGTCGAAGGGATCGAGCGGGGCGGAATGGTTGTGTTTGGTAATTTCGCCTAACACAAAACTAACAATGTCTTGTATGGTTGCCACACACACAATAGACATTTATGTCTTCCACTCTTAATTATTGTTTTAGAATTCTGTCCTATGTTTTCTATCTATGGCCTTACTAATTTTTTTGTATTCTTTCAGGCATGTTTGACAAGGATCGTTCTGGGCACATCAATGTTGAAGAATTCGACAAATTATATACCTATATCAACCAATGGTTAGCTGTTTTTAAAACGTATGACGTAGATCAATCAGGGCAAATTGATGAACAAGAGTTGTCTAAGGGTATAAAAATTATATATACTTGTAAATTATTTCTAAAATTTTATCGCCCACAATACATTTGTCTAACAGTCACATTTTTTTTATATTTTAGCACTAAACCAAATGGGATTTCGGTTTTCGCCTGAATTCATAAACTTCTTAGCTAAGAGAAGTGATTCGAAAGAAGGAAAAATTTCAGTGGATAGCTTTATTGTATTATGTGTTCAAATTCAACGTTTCACGGAAGCCTTTAGAAAGCGTGACACTCAGCAAAATGGAACAGTTACCATAGGATTTGAAGATTTCTTAAACGTAGCACTAAGTTGCTCTATATGAAGCAGTCTCACAATGAAGAAATAAATTCCCTACTACGTTATAATTAGCACCTAAAATAACTATATTACAACTAAGAGATAACCATAACAGCATTTAAATGGCTTAATAGATTTTCTTATATATCAACTACTTGACTTAATGCAGAACAAAATATATGTGATTGAAAATAAAGCACACTAGCTTTGAACTAGAAATGTTCAATTGTTTATAAATTTTAAAACTGCAAATGTAACCACATTAAGTTCAACAAATAATTGAATAATAGTTTGTAAAGCCTAAACAAGAACATAATATTTCCGACTTAAAATAAATCTGCTTTTAATAGATGATATATTTTATAATTTTTTCAATGATAAAATATTTTATTTCATGTACATGTATTTTGTTTCATGGTATAGAGTGAATCGTGTAAAACATGAGTGTAGTGTAGTGTAGAATGGGGTAATTGAAATTTTATTAAATTGTTCTTTGAGTTAATTGAAAAACTATTTTTATACACAAATAAACAAGATCTGTTAGATTTATATTGTAAAATTTATTTCAAAAGTTGTCTCAAATTCTTATATCTCTTCAGAATTCCAGAGTAGTATCTGAAAAGGAGAAAAAAAAAAGTTGAAAATGTTGTATATTACAAATGAAAATCATGAAAATTAAAAAATAACTTAGTTAACATTTACAAATTAGCTCAAAGCTATTCCAGCATTTTACGTGATACTTTATTTTAATATAATTAATAAAACTTTTTCTATATGTTTATCTTTTTACTCTTCGACACACATATTTTTAATTATGTAGATAAAAGATTTCTCAATAATATTAAAAGAAAGAAATAATTTAAAATTAAAAATTTTGTACAGCCGACTTCAATATAAGTTATTTAAGAATAACTTAAAAACTATTGGTCTGACCTTGATCAAATTCATATAGGACCACACGAGAAGTACCAGCTTTCAAATAAAAAAAGAATCATCGAAATCGGTTCACCCAGAAAAAAGTTCTGAGGTAACACACATAAAAAAAGAAAAAAAAAACGAAAAAAAAAAACATACAGTCGAATTGAGTACCGGCTCCTTTTTGGAAGTCGGCAGAAAAGTTTTAACATATTGTCTTTATTCACATCTTGTATATCTTCCGTAACAGGACAGATTTACCATTATCGCCACGTTTCGCAAGCAAATTTGTCAGCCGAAATGCTGATGTGATGTCAATTGGCCACCTGGAAGTTGCGATTTGACTTCGTTGGATTTTTTTTTGTGGGGAGCCGTTAAGGACGATAATTACACTAACCATCCAGAGACAATTGACGACTTGAAACATGAAATCAAAGTTGCCATTGATGAAATAGAGGCCCAAAAAATCGAAAATGTACTGAATGAAAATGTCTTCCATTCCTAAATGGAAAGGTTCAATCTTTCTAATAAGCTCATAACTTTGAAAAAATATTCATTAGTTTTTTTATAACTGATTCAAATTCCAAATCTATAATGGCCCACTCCTTATGACTGAACCATTTACACGTATTTAAAATGTCATTATTACTTACTAGCATCATTTCTTCTTCTCATTGCTTCTGCTTTCTCTAAAGAGAAAACTACTTCCTGAAAAATTTTCACTGCACTCCTCATGTTGTTCTGATGTTGTACATTGTCTGGAGAGCTGTCATCAAGTAAAGTGTATATTGTTGGTATTTCATCTAATTTCATATTTCTTGCATTATTTGGTTTAAATACTACTGAAACTTTCCCAGTTTTGGGATGTATACTGAAGGGCGATTTCAGAAGATGATTAAATCCTTTTGTAACGTTAACATCTAATCGTGGATAACAGTATTGTATTTTAATTTCTTCTAATAAATACTTTATCTTGCGAATTGCATTGCCATTCTGAAAATATAGTATTTTTTTTTTATAAATATATAGTAATTTTCACATGGTAGAGCCATGCTGCAGCCATATTAATAGTATAGTTGTAGCAAATAAATAATATAGTTGTAGCAAGTTGTAGCGGCTCGACCGGGCAAGGACCACGCTCTCACAGAATACCAGCGTAAAATAGCAGCTTAATGCTGCTGTGTTTCGTATGGTGAGTGTCTCTACACTGAGAACCAGAGACCCATTTTACTATAAAAGAGGCATTCCATCTTAGTCCTCACGGGTGACAACGCATCTGCATTTTGATTCGCAAACGAAGATAGATGTAGATGTCTATGGGCCACAGCAACCACTTATCATAAGGTGTATTGCGTGCTCGTTTGTTCTATGAAAAAAAAACCTGACTATGTCTAAGCCCAACAAAAGGGTAACAATTTTGGCTGGTATGAGCATGCTCGTTTCTAGGTTTCGCTGTAACTTAACACTTTATAAGTGTATTTGAAGATAGTTTTATTTATTTTTGAGTGTAATCACGGATAAAAATCAAATAAAAGGTAAGGTAGACGTAATTTAATCAGAAATCCCCAACCTTTTGTAATTAACTATACAAATAAATAAAATAGAAGGGTCTGTTTGTAACGTCAAAATGACAGCGTTTTATTAAATCAAAGTATAACAAAAATACACTTTTTAGAATTTTTGTCTGTCTGTCTGTCTGTTTGTTCCGGCTAATCTCCGAAACGGCTGGACCGAATTTGACGGGACTTTCACTAGCAGATGCTGATGTCATAAGGAGTAATTTAGGCTACTTTTATTTCAGAAAAATAATTAGGGTTCTTCGCAAAAAAAAAATTAAATACCTAAATTATACGCAGGCAAAGTCGCAGGGAACAGCTAGTTAGTCATTTATGATTAGACCAAAGAAATGAATATTTTATTTGTCCAAGAACAGCAAATGGTGGACTTGATGTTGCAAAGCTTTTTCTACAAGTCAACCGGTTCCAGACATGAGAGAATATGAGACTCAATTATATTCATATTAATTATTATTATTATTTCTTTGCTTTTTTTCGTTATTATTATTACGCAAGTAAAAAAAAAGGTTTATATTACTAACTCACTGTATGACAAAATCAGTAGCCACTAATAAACTTCTCGAGTTTTGTCTTCACATTTGTCATATTAGAACAAGTAATAGGTTGTTAGGAAGTTGTGAGGGAATCAGGGAACTGAGGAACATACACACACACGTATACATACATACCGGTCAAAATCATAACTCCATTGCCTCTATTACATGCGTGCGCAATCAAGCAAAGTTACGGCTCGCGAAAAACAATTTCTACAACGCCATTTTTCATACATACAAATGTTATCTAATTCGTCATAATATCTCATTTATCGATTTTTCAAAAAAGCTTCTGAACAAACTGTTGATAACCCCTGAGTACATTTGATCAATGAACCCGCCAAACGAGTTCTTGGCATTGTATAAGAACGCTTTTTTGACATATTGTGTAATCTCCTTAATTTCTGACACCACCACAAATATTGTTAGTTTATGGTGTTAAAATACCCCTACTGAAGTTTTACAACAAAGTATCACTTGTCTTAGAAGATACGAGGGCGGCACTGAAAATTTCGGGAATCAAGGAAGTGACACAACATTACTATTTAAAAATGTATTTGTAAGTATTCTATTTTTAGAATTTCTTTATTGTAAGTATTTCTAGAAATTTGACACATTTTTCCATACGATGGAACCAATCATTGAAGCAATCATTCCATTCGGAAGTTGGGGTCTCCAAAATGGTCGTTTTGTAGGCGTCCACAGCTTTTTCATGTGATGAAAATCTGTCCACCCAATTTATTCTTTATTTTAGGGAAAGTATAGAAATCATTAGGGCTTAGGTCGGGGCTGTACGGCGGATGGTCTAATAATTCTATGTTTTCTTGCTCTAAAAACTGTTTTGTCCTGTGTGCGGTGTGAGAACTCGCATTGTCGTGATGGAGGATGATGCGGCGATTGCAGTTCTCTTTACGGAGTTCAGAAACGACCTGTGGTAAACAAATGCTAGCATACCATTCTGAATTAACCGTTCTTTGTCCCTCAAGAGGAATAGTCGTAACATGGCCAGTTTTGGAGACAAACGTGGCCACCATTTTTTTTGCAATACCGTGAACGAACAATTTTTGTTGGCTTTAACTCATTTTCGAACACCCAAACTCGTGACTGGTTTTTTGTTTCGGGTTCGTACGCGTATATCCAGGACTCGTCACCTGATACGATGTTGTATACAGCATTTGAGGATCCTGCGTGGAATCTTTCGAGAGTTCTGACGCACCAAGTAACTCGAACCGCTTTTTGCTCTTCACAGAGCGAATGCGGTATCCATCGGCAAAACAACTTTTTTACACCTAATTGTTCATGCAAGATTATTTGTATTTGACTCATGCCAATGTCTAAAGTTGCCTGAATTTCGCGGTATGTCACATGTCGATCTTCCTCAATCAGCTTACGCACAGCATCAACGTTTTCTTGGGTGACTGCAGTTTTTGGACGACCTTGACGGGTATCATCACTGAGCTTGACACGTCCACGTTGAAATTCAGCAAAGCAACGATAAATTGTAGTTTTGGATGGGGCTTCATCACCAAATGCAGAAATCATCCAGTCAACACACTGTTTTTGTGTTAAACCACTTCGAAAGTCATAATAAATCATCGCTCTTGAATTTTCTCGAGTCAATTCCATTTTCTCAACGACTAAACAAGTTTGATAAAACCATGTGGCAAGACCGAGAATCTTTTTTTAAATAAATAAATGGTATTCGATTTTTAAAACCAAGGACTTTTCAATTAAAAAGATTTTAATATGACTGGAACAGTGGAAATATTCTATTCCCGATACTTTTAGTGCAGCCCTCGTAATGCAAAAAAATGTAGGTCACAGGCATCTAACGAACTTTTTAGGGAACTTGCGAGTCGTGTCACTGGCAGTGAATGTGTTAAAGTACTTTGACAAATATTATGTCAACTAATGTTTCAAAATTGCATCTAACAAATAAAGCAAATTTATTTTAAGAAGTTTAACGTTTCCTAATGATGAAACTGGATGAAACAATATATTCTTGTATATTACGTTATTGAGACTAAAAGCCAAGTGGGGGGAAATGTCAAGATCCATTGTTTCTGAATGGTGTTAGCTCATTTCAGTAAACACGTTCATTTACCACTACCACTTCAGAAATAGCTACTCTAGCATTTAAAGTATACAAGCTAGTTGTAATGGTATAAATGCTATGGCAAGTGTGAAAATGCTAGCAATTGGAATGTGACAATGCTAACAAACCTATTTATGTTGGTACAATAATAAAAAGGGAAAAGAATTTTATTTCACAATTAAATACGTAAACTCTCACTATCACTTGCCATGACATATTGAAATTTGATACAATAATACCAGAGTAAACAGGAGTATGGAAGTTTCATACAAGCATCTCGCAATGCACGCACACAAGCGCAGTATTCACCTTCAGTGGCAGGCATAGAAAATGCGTGACGCATGCGTTGGCACTCATCATCATCATCATTATAGACCTTCATATGTCCACTACTTAACATTGGCCACCCCTAAAGAATGCCACAAAACAAGGTCCCGAGCAACTTGCATCCAATGACTTCCTGCATGTCTTACCAGGTCGTCACTGAATCTAGTGGGGAGCGCAAGTCTATCACGCAGGGAAACCCCAAGCATAGCCATCTGTACAGCTCGCTGAGCGACCTTAAGCTTCCTCATAAGGCCAGTACTAAATTACGAGACGCTTGTACGAAGCTTTTGCACTCAATCACTCTGATAATACAAAATTAATCAAAAATAATACCGTTAAACAAACATATTATGCATTTATGCAATATATGACCCAAAACTCGAGAGCGAAATGCACGCTGCTGCGATTCGTTAACGTATGTAGTGCAAAACGAAGCTATGAATAAAATTTACGTTTTTCAACTCTATTTAGTTTGATAAATGCTAATTCACATTCTAAGAATTAATGCGATTGTTGAATCCAACTTACTTCTCTTAAATATGTATCATAAATATTAACAAATGACTTCCATCTCTCCAAAGATGATTGCGGCATTTTTGTTAAATTATTTTCAACTATATCTCTTAAAGTTTCATCTGGAATCATTTTCAATAACTTCTGTAACCGTTCTGGTGTTCCTATAAACTCTTGATCCAGCATTACTTCATCAAAATATTTGTCAATGATACCAATAGATCTTCTATAAAAGGCAAAAAAATTACATGTACAATATAAATCCACTGAAAATGGAGTTTGACTTTTATGTATTATTTTACAATTTTGTGCAATATATTTTGGAAATAAAATAAAAAATATTATTGTTTACTGTGTCATAATAATGACGATGTAGCGTAAGATAATCCATCACTTCATTTTTTCCCCTGTGTGTTATGTGTGACTATAAGAAAATGCCAGAAAACCTTATGGCTTTCGATAGATGACGGTTTAACTATATCATTGATACTAAACCAGCAATAGGTAACACCGTCAAATTACAATTAAATTACAGCCCTTTAGAAGTCCACTGCTGAACATAGGCTTCCCCCAAGGAATACCACCAAGCACGGTCCTGAGCCACCAGTATCCATCTACTTCCTGCATGTCTGACCAGGTCCATCTAGTGTGGGACCACCCCACACTTTGCCTCCAGTACAAGGCTGCCACTCGAGAACCTTTCTTCCCCATTGGCTATCGATTTTTCGAGCTATATGGCCGTCCCATTGCCACTTTAGCTTACTAATCCATTGGGCTATATCGGTTACTCTGGTTCTACTGCGCATAGATATTTCAAAGTATAACATGCAGAGAAATACCGAGCATAGCCCTCTCCATAGCTTGCTAAACGACCTTGACCTTCAGCATACAGCCAGCAGGGAAGGACTTTTTTTTAAATGTCGCATTGTATGATGGTGGAATTCAACAACTGGCATTAATCTGAAAACTTCCTCTGAGCACTCCCCATGGTATATGCGTTAGAAGATACACAGAGATGCAACATCTCTTTGCAAGGCCAGGCCATTAGAAAGCACTTGGTAATTGACAATTTGGGTCGCGATGGACTGCATCCACCTATCGCTGAGTCAGATATACAAGAAGATAATCAGCTAAGCGACCTTGACAGAAACTGTATTGACGGTCCCTAATCAGCAGCCCTTCAAGGTACTTCGTGAGCCTGCAGTTAATAATGGATATCATTGTTTTGGAGAACAGGGAGGTGATGGCGATAGGCTTAGTTGGATGGGTTGGACCTTTTTCTACAGACTTCAAAATGGAGATGGTATTCAATTCGACTGTATGTTTTTTTTTTATGGTAACCCACCTCATAATTTTTTACTGGGTGAACCAATTTCGATGTTTTTTTTTTATTTGAAAGCTGGTGCTTCACATGTGGTCCCATATAAATTTGATCAAGCTCTGACTAATAGTTTTTGAGTTATTCTTAATAATTTATGTTGATGCCGGTTGTACAAAATTTTTAATTTTAAATTATTTAGGAATAGGGTGCACTAAAGCTGTCTTCCATGAGCTTGGAACGACGCCTAAACAGTAAGCGGACATGTGGCTAATGATGATACTGAGACGAGAAAACATGAGTTCTTGAAGGATGGCAAACTAGTTTATAGTTATACATTATTTCTACCTGATGCTTGAATGAAGATTGTCTACTCCCAAGTGAACTTTTTTGTTCTGATTATCTCCACCTATAATTAAACACAGATAATCAGCAATTGCTCCTCTTCCTGGGCTGTCTAGTGTTCTTGCTTCAAAATCAGACACCCAACAATGAATCCCACGTCTTCCAGAAAATACCCAAAGAATATTCTGGAAACCAAAGTCATCTGCAAAATTCAAAAAAAAAAGTAAAAAAAATTTAAATACCTACACACTGATGTACAATGCAGTGTCATTTATGAAAAACATAGCAACACATTTTTAATTGAAGTCACAAGAATACTAACAGAAAATTAACCCTCTCTCACCTTCCAACTCTCTATAAAGGTGTCGGACCACAAAATTGTAACCAAAAGTAAAAATTATTAATTTCAATTTTTTATCATGAACACAAGTTACAATTGAATGCTATTAATATTAATACAATTTACAATTGAATTAAATATTAAACAAATTCTAAATTTTTAGTGTGGAATTCCACAGACTTAATGGCATTCTTACCCTTTAACGATGTATGAATGATTTCACAGGCAATGACCATAAATTTCCAGCATTTATCACAAACTTTAGCCTCTTGACAACATGTTCTGACTTCATCATAATCAGTTAAATCTATATCAAACACTAACTCTCTAGCAAGCACTACAGCATCATGCCTTGAAATGGAAGGTCTGAAAAAAAATTTACATTCAGAATTTAAATACATAAAAAATTATGCCAAAATTATTGAATGATGACTCATACACACAAACAACCTCACCAATAAGAAAGCGTTGGCTAAACTAAATAAAACCTATGATTTGAATACTTGTTAATCTGATTCTTAAATATAAGTAACACGCAAATTACGTTTTTTTGATATTGAACATTTTTGTGGTGCATTTATTAAAATACTATACTATTTAAAATTACGAACTCAATATTAACATCACATCAGAATATTAGTTTTATCAAATTAATCGTACTATGGTATTAATTAATTACATGCAATTGTCAACCCACTTATGAAGTGTGGCAACTATGACCATATCCCCCTAATAGGCAATATATATTATGTTTAGCAGTAGACTTTTGATTGGCTGTAATAAAAGAGGAATAACATTTTCTAATTTAAAGGCAACTGTTTTAAACAAAAATAATACTTAAACATCTCAACCTATTTAATAGCTTATTGTACATTTTATAGCCATGTATACAACATGTTTTTTTTTTTTTAGTTTGTAGACCTTCGAGAAGGCATAAACATCATACACAAACATCACATTTATAGAATTAAACAAGTACAAATTTTTCTTTATGATCAAAGAGATGTCTAGAATATTACAAGGCAAGTGTAGGAAGTTATCTATAATATAAAAAAATTTATCGCCGAATGTGTTGCTAAGCGCAAATCTCGAGAGCAGCTGAACCGATTTCGCTAATTCTTTTTTAAAAATATTCCTTGAAGTACGAAGATGGTTCTTACGGTGAGAAAAATTTAAAAAATTGTCTGAAAAAGTCCAAAAACAACACCTTTCTATATTCCCACACAAAAGATTCGTAATAATACTTAAAAGTCAATTTGATTTTTAATACCATACCATAAAGTTTAAGTGTTAGTGGGTTCCTGAGTGAGGTTAGTATCGTATAAATATTAATGTCAATATATATACGATGGTAACGTTACTCAAAAACAAAATTAGGGTTCTGCGGAAAAAAAAATTGATATCCATGAAATCGTAGTAAATTCCATGCGGGCGAAGTCGCGGGGCACATCTAGTTATATATACAAATAAATAAAATTGAAGTGTCTGATTGTAATGTCCAAATAACAGCTTTTTACTAATTGCATATGAAAGTATATATGGTACTTATAACAAAAACACAATTTTTAAGATTTTTGTCTGTCTATTTATTCCGGCTAATCTCCGAAATAGCTGGACCAATTTTTGACGGGACTTTCACTGGTAGATAGCTCTTGTTATAAGGAGTAACTTAGGCTACTTATATTTTAGAAAAATAATTAGGGTTCTGTGCAACAAAATTAAAACACTAAGTCACACTCCTGCAAAGTCACGGGGAACAGCTAGTTGTCTTTATAAAGTAGCTCACAGATTTTTAAAGTCTGCTCCACTTAATGTTCTCATAATTTTTTTTTGTGATATAAACACTCCTTTAATCCAATGAAAAACCTAAACTCTGTAATTTAACAAAAATGAAATATAGCAAAATAGTTTCATGTTTCTATATAAAATTCCAGAATAAATTCCCAAAAAATTTGTTATGAATTTGGTGCAGAAACTGTCCACCATAAATAGGACAGATTAAGTAAAACAACCGTTACAGAATAGAATAAGCCAAAATCCACATAGTAATTATCTGTCCTACCCCTGGTGTTTTAAGAAAACCAGTGACCAGTTGAAACAAATTTTACCCACAACAATATATAAAAATATAAAAAATATCTTTAAAATGATCAAGTTCCACTCCAACTAAGAGGTGGTTGGCAACCGCACCCTTGCCCCATTTATTATTTTTCTACACTCTTCACACAAAGGTAAAAGGAATGCTACTAAGAACTTTTCTAGTGTGAAGTGTATAGAGGACCACTATAATTACAGACTGAGGCATTCCATCTTAGACCTCAGAGGTGGCAACCTATCTATAACCTTCCTTGTTAGAAGTTGGCTGCAGGTGTCCATGGACCACAGTAGCGCTTTTCCATCAGGTGGACTGCAAGCTTGTTTGTCACGTCTGTTTTATAAAACGATGCTTAACATGTGGGTAATTAATAATTTAGTTTCGTTTCCTTAAAAACTACAGGGTTACACACCTCCGCATTAACCATGGGGTCCAGGCCCTCTTTCATCCATCCAACACCTGCCCTTTCAAATACATTTGTGAGATTTGCATGTTTGTGTTTTCTGAAGAATTTGTCACAATAATAATATAATTCAAATTCAGGATAAAAATGCATATCATACTTATTATTATAAACAGCGCCAATATCCAATTTATATGGACATTTCTTTTGAAGCAATGCTTGAAATTCCTTCTGATTGCTTATAGATAAATATCGTATATAAACATCATCAGCCAGTGTAAAAGACAATTCTCTATTAGAAAGGGGCTGTGGACTATTTCCACAAGCAAGCCATCTGCAGAAAATGTTTTGAGGGAATAATCTTGTATAATATACCGGCAACATATCAGAAAGTAAATTTTCATCATAATGTGCCACCTAAAAGTTAAATATATTTATATAAAGATGTTTAATATTTTAAACTTATTTTGAAAATTGAATTAGAATTGGTTTGCGAAATCACTAACCATATTGATTATTTGTTTTATTGACTTTTTATAATAAGATATCTCTATGAAATAATATAATAAAAAATTAAATAAATTAAAATTAAACAGATCACAGATACTGCTTTTTTTTAATAACTGGCTTTACGGCTCTGGGATCTAGCTCTTCTGAGCCTGAAGTTACAATCTTTATATATAAAAATTACGTGTCACGTTGTTTGTCCGCGATGAACTCCTAAACTACTGAACTGATTTCAATGAAATTTTGCACACTGTGTGCAGTTTGGTCCAACTTGAGAGATAGAATAGTTTTTATCCTGATAAGTGACACAATATTTTTTTATTACGAATTTAAGGATTTTTTATATGAAGGGTCGTCGAAAAGGGCAGAACAACGTCTGCCTGGTCAGCTAGTATCTTATAATTTTTCTTCACAGTATACTGCTTCACAATATGCTTACTTACTTACTTACTTATCTTCACGCACAATCCCTGACGGGGTAGCCAGAGAGAACAGATCGCCAAGTGTCACGATGTCAAATGTGAAGCATCAGCATAATGTGTGCAGCCCTTGGAAGATTTTGATGGCAAGTTGAGCCAGCAGACAGCTAATGGTTGGCGATGGTATATCAAGGCGCCTAAGCAGACAGACACCTTATTTTGAGAATCACATCACCATCAGAGCACTTGTTTCACACAGTTTCGACTAATAGTTTACATGCGCAGACACTTAATACACAAAATCGCACCACTTTTACGTATGAAAGTCCACTTTAAACCATTACAATAATACAGGAGCAGCAAACAACAGTCCACAGTCCACAGATACTGCAATTAGTAGTCAAGAAAGAGTATAGTAATTATAATTTTTTATAGTAACTGCTAACTGTCCTATACAGGAAGTAGTTAAAGACTACAATAATCTGCACATGTGAACTATTAGTGGAAACGGTGAAACAAGTGCTCTGATGGTGAGGTGATTCTCAAGATAAGGTGTATGTATGCTTAGGCGCCTTGAAATACCATCGCCAACTGTCAGATATCTGCTGGCTCAAGTCGTCGTCAAAATCTCCCAAGGGCTGCACAATGTGCCGCCTCAACATATGTGAAGCAGTGTACTATGAAGGATAATTATATATTGTTACTTCAGGCTCAGAAAGGCTAGAACCCAGATCCGTAAACCTAGTTATTAAAAAAATATGAGAGTTTTGGCGGGATTGCCGTGGATGTATTATTGTTTAAATAATGGTTTGAAGTGGACCTTGATATATAAAAGTGAAGCGATTTTGTGTAATTAAGTGTCTATGCATGTGAACTATATAGTATTTGCGTTATAGCATGGTTCACAGGTCACTTAAACGTAACTTGCGTGGTGCATCCGTTTGGAAGATTACGACATTTTGAACTATGAGAAAATAACACTGAATTTATTATTATTATTTTTTCTATTCTGTTATGAACTTTAAACTGACATTAATTTAAAAAAAATATCACCTAATATAAGTACGGAGTATGGACCACGGATCGGAAAATTAAAATTAAACACGGGTAACACTGCGCTACACCGCGCAATTGTGCTAACTTAATTCACTGCTTCGATGTGTTAATTCACTGAATTCGAAATGTGTTAAGGTATTGCTATCTATTCAAATAAATAAAATTGGTGTTCGATTCAAATTAGTCTGTAGCGGAAGATAAATAAAATATAGTTGTAGCTGTTTTTGATTTTATTTATTTAATAAATTTGTTAATTTTTATATTGTTTATTTTAACAATTAATATTTACTTAAACCATCTTCAAAGCACCGCACACATAGAAGACCGAGTTAATAGGAAACGCAGTATTTTACAAAAAGTACTAGCTACTAGTGCTAGTACTATTAACATTTAACAACATTTATGGAGGTAAGGAGGACTATCTCATATGGGGGACAAGATGAAAAAGTGTCCAGCTGTAAGCAGTAAATAACAGTTCAAAAACCTTCCATAATTGCGCTAGCGTAGATACAGGGTATAGTATGAATGTAGAAGTTGTAGATGTTAAAGTGTACCTACCGAGTTAAAAAATTTAATATTTTTGGTGACTAGAGTAGTTAGTTACAATACAGTATACAAAAATTGATTTTATTTTTGTTAACTTCAAATTCGTTTAGCAATTTTTTTAGTCTGAAATGTTATAAAACTTTTTAAAATAGTACAATTTAATTTTTCTATTTTTAAAATTTACCCTGCTGCTATTGTACGAGGGTAACACTGAAAGTTCTTAGAAAATCAAAAACTGAACAAACTAGCAAGTTATTAGCTTTATTATATCTTTTCAAAATAGTGTCAATTTACATCAATACATCGCTGCATCCGATGGAACCCCTGAGAAAAGCACTTTGCCCACTCGTCCTTAGGGGTCTCGTCGACGGCATTTTGAAATGCACAAACGCAGTCTTCTTCGACGTCCATAAAACGTTTTCCTCGAAGTATTTCTTTTATTTTCGGAAATTAATAAAAATCGCAAGGTGCGAGGTCGGGGATATAGGGCGGGTGACCCAGTAATTCCACGTCTGACGTCGCAAAGTAGTCGATTTTCTGCTTGGCGGTGTGCGACGAGGCGTTGTCGTGGTGAAGGAGGATCTTACTGCGAGGTCGTTTCTCCTGAACTTTTTCTAAGACAAGTGGCAAACAATTGTTGGTGTACCACTCTGCAGTAACTGTTTTTCGATCCTCTAAAACAATTGTTGCGTAATGACCTGTCCTTCTGAAGAACAAGGCCACCATCTTTTTCCCACGCTTCAACTTCTCTTCACTTTAGTTGGCAACTCCTTGGAAGGAAATACTCAGACAGCAGACTGTCTTTTAAGTTTCAGGATCATAACAATAAATCCAGATTTCGTCACCCGTAAGTGTGTCGAACACAGCATTTGAGTCACCTCCGTTAAATCTTTGAACCATTTTGCGACACCAATTAACACGACGGAGTTTTTGGGCCTGTGTCAAATTATGTATTAGTCTCTATCATACGCCGCACAACACTGATGCTATTTTCAATCGTCGCCGTAGAAGGCCGTCCCTCACGCAGATCATCGGTGATATTAGTGCGACCACGTTTAAACTCAATAAACCAGTTGTAAACAGTGGCAAGAGATGGGGCTTCATCGTGAAAGGCCAATCGAAGTCTATCATAACTTTCTTGTTGAGTTAAAATACATCGAAAATCATAAAAAATCATTGTATAAAAATTTTATCGCGTTAAATTCATGCTGACGTGACACAGACAATTTTCGATTTGCCGCCAAATCGTAAACAAATGACAAATTAATAAAATACATACGCAATAATATTGGCAAAGAGTTCCATTTTCAAAATTTTAACTAATTTTTTTATTATATCGTTTACAAGTGACCAGTTGTAAAAACTTTCAGTGTAGCCCTCGTAGCGCCACGCCACCCTAATTTAGCGCATTTCGACGAACACTTTTACACACACACACAGAGATAGTCCTCCTTACCTCTACCCTCCATATAACATTACTAATATTCCCTTTAATCTCTACAGATAAGCTGAAAATGCTTGGGTTAGAAGTGGTTCACGACAGTAGTCGAATGGTGGATTCGAACCCACAACCTTTTGGAGTCGGGACGCGGTCCGCACCCTGCCATTAGACTACCATCGTAGCTAACTTCACTATTCTATCTCATTCTCTCGCAGGCTAAATCCTATAGATGTATGTTTGTCTCTTTTTCGTGTCGCTTTTTCGTTTCATCGAGTTTCAAATCACAACGGTTCTAAAGAAGTTTCACTACAAAAATATAACTTAGGCTTTCAAAGGGAAGGAAACTTAAAAAATACTTCTTTCACTTATTGGAATTAATCACTGTCGCCGTCATAGGAGGTGGATGGATACGGAGTTTGCATGATGTTTATGTTCATATTATTTTTTTATAGAATAAGGGTGACATACGAGCACACAGTCCACCTGATGGTAAGTGGATGCTGTGGCCCACAGACATCTACATTTATCCTCAATTAAAAATCAAAATGCAGATTCGTTGTCACCCCTGAGGACTGAGATGGAATGCCTCGTTTCCAGTAAAAAGGGTCTCCGCGTCTCTACACCCACCATACGAAACAGCAGCATTAAGCTGCTATTTTATGTCGAGAAGATGGTTGTGGTTCTTCTGTATAAGATTTCTTCTTTAAACTATAAGCGGCATTACTCCCTATCGCCTCGATTACTTCTGTGGGTAGGTCGAAAGTAACACAATAATTTATTGATTACATAAGAGAATTTGAGCATTAATAGTTTTAAGTATATAGTAATTAGTTGATTATGTTCACAGAGCTGAAAACACGCTCAACTTCTACATTAGAGTGTGGAAGACACAACATAACAGTAATAGCAAATTGTGCATTTGTTGCGAAGACTTTAGCTGCATCCAGAAATATGTATATCTATGCCATATTATAAGATGCAGTGTGCATCTAAAGCGACATTTTTTTCATTATTCAATAAATTGAAGATGCCTATTTGAAATAAGAGCCAAGTTGCCAGAGAAGTCGCAAAAAATCGGTAAATCGAAATTTTTGTAACTAATTTGCCCAATTAAGTCGTCATTTTTGGCAACAAACGAAACAGTACTATTTAATATTAAATAGTTTTCCAAACTTGTACTAATGATGACGTTCTAGGGTCTAGGGTAGGCTGAAGAGGTGATAATATTTTTTTAAATAAGAAGATGCAACATTATAGTTTACATATCTAAATACAAACATTGTTTATCGAGTATTTTTCTATTATTTTATGTATATTTAATTTTTAGCCTATGTAGTAAGAGCAAAATGGTCGATTTAAAGTTATTATAAAAAATTTATGCACCGTAATTAACTTAGTAGCCTCCCACAAGGTGTTTGATAATTAAAATAAATCTAAACTTTAGAAAGATAGTCTCTCGTAGCATAGCAATGGTCAATGCAAAGTTTGTGAATCAATCAAATTAGAAATCAAACTAAGTAAGAAATCAAAAAAGTAAGGCACCTGAGATTTTGAGTGAGATTGAGAGGTTCTATGGGCAGCTTTACACGTCATCGTTGGAGCCACACGCAAGTGTGAGTAACGATCCAAGAGCGAGTCTTATCCGACACTATTCCGAAGATATCCCGGACGTCAGTCTGAGCGAGATTAGAATGGCTCTCTAGCACCTTAAAAACGGCAAGGCCCCAGGCGAGGATGGAATCACAGCGGAGCTTCTGAATGCGGGTGGAAGACCGGTACTTGAAGTCCTTCAGAAGCTTTTTAATTCCGTCCTCCATGGTGGCATTACACAGGAGGCGTGGGGCAGAAGTGCGGTGGTCTTGTTCTTTAAGAAAGGTGACAACGCTCTCTTGAAGAACTACAGACCGATTACCCTTCTGAGCCGCGTCTACGTGCTGTTTTCGAGAGTCATTTCGAATCGTCTCGCGCGCAGACTTGACGACTTCCGGCCTCCCGACCAAGCCGGTTTCCGAAAGGGCAAATTGTACAAAAGTCAGAGGAGTACAATTTGCCACTATGTCTGGCGTATGTGGACTATGAGAAAGCCTTTGATTCCCTCGAAATTTGGGCGGTGCTGCAGTCCCTTCAGCGGTGCCAAGTGGATTGTCGGTATATCGAAGTGCTGAAGTGCTTGTACAGTAGGGTTACGATGGCTATCCGAGTACAGAACCAGAATACGAAACCTATCCAATTGCAGAGAGGTGTACGACAGGGTGATGTCATATCCCCGAAACTCTTCACCGCTGCATTGGATGACGTTTTCAAGCTTCTGGACTGGAAAGGATACGGTATCAACATCAATGGCGAGTACATCACTCACCTTCGATTTGCCGACGATATAGTCCTTATGGCAGAATCGCTGGAGGACCTAAGCACTATGCTCAATAACAATCACTATTGAGTGCTTCCTAATGGATAGGTCTTAAGATGAACATGGACAAAACAAAGATCATGTTTAATGTCCATGTCACACCTATGCCGGTAGTTGTTGGGAGCACTAAGCTCGAAGTTGTTGACGAGTATGTTTACCTGGCACAAATAGTCCGACTAGGTAAGTCCAACTTCGACCGAGAGGTCAATTGACGGATTCAACTCGGTTGGGCAGCGTTCGGGAAACTACGACACATCTTTTCGTCAGATATTCCTCAAAACTTGAAAACGAGACTGTACAACCAGTGCGTTTTGCCAGTGATGACATCCGGAACTGAGACGTAGTCCTTCACTGCTGGCCGGATGAGGAAGCTCAAGGTCGCTCAGCGAGCTATGGAGAGGGCTATGCTCGGAGTTTCTCTGGGTGATAAACTCAGAAATGAGGATATCCGCAGTAGAATCAGAGTGACCCACATAGCCCAACGGATTAGTAAGCTGAAGTGGCAATGGGCCGGCCATATAGCTCGAAGAAAAGAGTACTGACTGGAATTAATTTTATGATTTATATATTTCACTCGTACATAACAATAATGCCTACACGGATGCAGAGAAATTCAGATATTTACTCCTTACTAAAAAATGAACCTTATAATTTGATTAAATCAATTCCCATTACCGACGCGAACTATTCTGTAGCCTTATAGGTATTAATTTCGCGTTATGAGAACAAAAGAATTATAGCTTCCACTCATCTCGACAAAATTCTTGATGTTGAACCTTGTTCAGAAAAATCAACAATCAGCTTACGTAACTTACTAAACATTTACCAAGAAAACATTAAAGCACTTGAAGTCATGAAATTTCCTACAATCGAATGGAGATTTATCTTATTAACGATTTTACCGCGGAAAATTCCCTCATCTATCCGCAAATGTTTTGAGTTATCATTAAAATCACCGTCAGAAATTCCTGATATCAACACACTAAAGTAGTGTAGTTGTACCACTTCTAGACCACCTGAGTCAGACGTGGTTCAACGACGTTCGTCGACACACGATCCTAAAAAAAAAAAATGTGTAGATCAATTAGCTAATATCTAATTGATATCCGGTAAGGGCCTCCACCGTCATTAGCGTCCCATTGTTCCTATTTCTATTGTTCTATTGTTCATTAATCACCTTCATTGCAGCGTGTGCGTCGACTATATCAGTGCTATTGTATTGTACTTCTTTGTTCCTAATTATACAACGCTAATCTGAATCATCAATAAAACACATTACATAATTTTGTTACAATTTTTATTTATAAAATACAAAATCTTATTACTTATTATCTATAAAATAGGAGCGAAACATCTCATCCACTAAAATATCGTTGTACAATGTGTTCCTTGTAAATATACTCGTAAAACTATGTATTGAACATCCTTGAAACTTATATAGCAAATACATTAAGCAATATTCGCCACAAACTGAAGTCCACTCATTCTGAATCCTATCAACATTCCAGTTCCATCTTTTACAATTCCTTTTTAAAAACTCTAGATGATATCGTACAGGTGATCGTCCATATGAATCAAAATATTGACCGACGTCATTCGTATCGATATATAAAGCTACCCAATGTGACCCTGGTTTATCATCTGTATCCAAATTGCATATTATATACGTTGGTACGTGGGTATACATAGGCAGTCTATTAGCTGCATAAACATTATTTTCTAGACTGGGGTGAATCTTTTTCAGATGTTGTTGTACATCTAGTGTATCCATGATATTACTGCTATTAGTAGATTATTACAGTACCAATCTACTCAATGAATAACATAGGAATGGTCAATTATAGTGATTTCTAAATATTAAATTGCATTTTTGTGTTATACAAATCGTACTTGAGTCATTGATCACCAAACAAAACACAATACGAAGAAATGTTGAGATAGGCAACGGAAATGTGAGATAAACTGATATGTTTCTAAATATTAAATTGCATTTTTGTGTTATACAAATCGTACTTGAGTCATTGATCACCAAACAAAACACAATACGAAGAAATGTTGAGATAGACAACGGAAATGTGAGATAAACTGGTTGACGCATAAAGTAATTATCAACTCATTACGGAAATACTTTAGATTAGAATTTTTACGTACTGGTGGTATATAAGACCAACAGACGCAGTCATCGAGTTAGTGTACGGTCGTTTGACTACAGTGGATCTATCAATAGTACATTTGTGTTACTTCAATACACCAAAGGCTATGGATGTAAGTGTTTATTCTATTGACTAAATTACTTTTTTTCTGTTATTTTCATGTGTGTGTATTATTTTATTTAAATATTGTGTATGTATATGATTAAGCCGTGGTAACTCAGATGGTTAGCGCTAGCTGTAAATTTCACAGTACGCGACCCGGGTTCGATCCCCGCCAGCACCAATTAAATTGTTAATCGTAATTTTAAGTGCTTATTACCACGTGCTTGGTGGTGAAGGAAAACATCGTGAGGAAACCTGCATGTCTGAGAAAATTTCGAAGGCATGTGAAGTTCGCCAACACACATTGAGGGAGCGCGGCGGACATTTCCTTGCTCTAAAACCCTCTCAGAAATGAGAGGAGGCCTATGTTCAGCAGTGGACTTTAATAGGCTGTAACTTTAACTTTTTTAACTTTTATGATTAAGTGTTAACAAATTGATATTAACATGATAACTGTGTTGTTGCAGAAATCATTGAGCTTCGATGAAGATAACTATAAACAGTATTACTACTCGCCACTCTCCCCTCAAGAAGAGAGTGATAACCTCGTCATTAATAATAACACATGCAATGGTGGAAAAAGAAAATCGCAATCGATTGATCATTTTTTTGAAGCTGAATAAAAAATAAAAAAGAGGAAGCTGTTATCATCAACCGTAGCACGAGCCGCTAGAGATGGTGTATCATACATTTCTACTAATTCTGACGACGGAGACCAAGCGACGCATCTCATCAAAATTGAAATGTACGATATGAAGAAGCTATCCAAGATTCCAACTACTGATCATTGGAAACATGCTTCCACGAGAATTAAATATTACGTAAAGACTAATAAGGATAGCATCTACGACAACACAAACGCCCTCGTATACAATATAACAAAGACAATAGCAGAAAGTGAAAAAGTTAAAAAATACTTTTTTAACAATGACAGTCATTAGCTGATCATTAGTGAACGTGATTCTGTTTACTTCAATTACAGGAAGACAAGAGCGGAAGGAAGAGATGAGTGTGGCATACGTGTACAAAACACATCATTGAATAACAAAACTACAACACTGAGTGGAGAAGAAAACGAGAAGAGTATGCAGTACTCAAGAGCTGAATATCCATTCTTCAGTTCAAAATCTAGCCGTTTGCTTAGTTTCGAAAACTGGCCTCTCGTTATGCGACAGAAACCTGAAGATCTTGCAGAAGCTGGTTTCTTTTATACTGGCCATGCAGACGGGACCAAGTGTTTCCATTGTGGTGGTGGTTTAAAAGATTGGGAAGATGATGATGATCCTTGGCAGCAGCATGTCCAGTGGTTTAGTCAGTGTGCTTATGTAAAATTTCAACTCGAACAGTGTTTTGTATTAGATTAAATAGAAGATTTATAAAGAAATAAAAAAAAATATATTGCATACAATTTGTTTTATTTAATTTTATAACGTTTCACATAGTTACATACACACAAAATGCATTACACATAACACATAAAATCTAACACACAACACATATTATAACCTTAACTACTATAGTCTACAGTAACATTTCTGTTTTTATCTATCTCAATAATATTATCAAACTCAGCATAAACTATACAGTTAATTGTTTGTATTAATGAGGATTCAAATCGTACTTCTATTCTTACACTACCATGCTTTATGAGATTCCAATGAGTTGATGAGTTAGCTGATAAATCAGGAGTTAAGTCAAATGCTAATAGACAGTAACCTTTGCCATACTGTTCACAAGAGATTCCATTTCCTTCATTAAGAAAGTGAATACCAGTTCCCGAGAATAGAGTATGATATGCTGATGTAAATATGCTATTATTAAAAGATGGTTGCAAAGCTTTTGAAGGTATTTGTTGACCATCAATATATAAGCTGAAATAATTAATACCATAGTTTTCAAAGTTAAATGGATTTTTAGTAAGGGAACCATTAAATGCAGAATTGTTCACAAATCCAATTATACATCTTTTCGGTACCTGTCCTAAAAATATATTATCAAGAGTTTTTCCTTGAACACCCGAAGGAATTGTTAAAACTTTTACTTCAGCTCGAGTAATAGGATATTTAGCAGTGGTAGAAGCTAAAACTTTTTGATGTGCGAGTAATACACTTGGATTAATTCGTGCTCGTCGAACAATAAGACTTGCGTCCGTAATGCAAACTTTAAACTTTACATCGTTTGACCCAACAATTAAATTAAAACTCTCTCTTGATCGAACCAATTTAACACTAATTTCAACACCATTAATTAAAAATTTATCTTGGTTAAAAATGTCACCGTGAAGATGACCAATCATTTCTATTTCCTTACTTTCACTAATCAATTCCTGTCTTTTAACAAATCCTATGTTTTTACCATCTGTAGAATCCATTTTTCCTGCTGTATCCTCATACCAAAGACTACAAGTAAGATGAGATTGTTTAGCAGCAGGGGCATAGTTTAAAAGGGTTTCCATGTATGCTCGATATGCATAGGTATTATTAGGTGGTGATACAAGTTTTTGGTTTAAATAAACATCAAGTTGACTAAAAAGTGAATGCAGCCAATTATTTACAGGTGCTACTATTGTAGTAGATACCAAGTTAGTTGAATCTTGATTTAATACTTTTGCCTTTATGTGGAGTAATGTATGAGACAAATCTATGTAGTCATCGCCGGTCCCAGGAACTTGAAACTCGATAGGTCCATCATCACCAAGAGATGAAATTGGTTTATAATGAATCCACAATCCATTTTCAATGCTAGTTTGTGTAGACGGTAGTGCAAACAAATCCAATTCTGACTTAACGCACTCACAAGAATGATTATGAAGGAAAGACATATTTAGTTTGAAAATATATCTTTGATATTTTTTGGTTTTAGACAAAGTTTTTTCGCAGCTTTCACTTTAGCAGTTAATGGTGGAATGAACGATGTCAATCGTTTTCTTTTAGTTTTATACCCAGATCCAGTCATGTTAAATTGATCAATTTTCTCATCAGCCTTTCGTTTTAAATTCGTACTAACTTGCTTTAGACGATCTTTTATTGAGGCTTCCATAGGACGGGCTTGAACCATATCCGATAAAAGTCCTACTCCAGCGCTTAATGCCTCCTTACCAATCACTCGAGCACCACTTGAAAGTAAAGGTAAAACTGATCTGAATAACCCCCCTAAGAAGCTCCCAATACCATGACCGCGTTGATATGGGGAACCCTTATAAATTACTCCAACTCCTGATCCAGCTTGATGTGTATAATAATTTTCATATGGACATTTATGATGATCACGAAGAGAATTCATTATTATAATTTTCGGAAATGTAGTTTAATACACACGGTTCCAAACTGGAATGGTATTTTTTGTCCTGTACTCGATCTTATAACTATTTCCAACGTATCGAACTCTCTTCGCATAACAGGTAAGTAGTGAGGTTGAGAGAAAACGTGCATTTTATTTGCACCATAAATGTATTTTGTAGGATCTAATGAAATGACTCTTAATAAAGGAGTCATAACATCACCCACAATCTGAGGATCGATAATGTCGCAATATAGAAATAGTTGAGATGGTAACCCTAAGTGTAAATTAGCAGGACACTTTCCAAAATTTCTCTCTAGGAGATTTTTATTTGGTTCATAACCTAGCTGTAAACTTAATTTGGGTGATAATGTTACGGATGTTATATTTTTATCCAATACCGAAATAGACACAAATTTTGTTATTTCATCATAGCGAAATTTCAAGTTCTCTCCGATACCATTTAACACTCTTAAAATATGCTCAACGTTATCATAGTTGGTAGCTGGAATATGTTTTTTGTAGTACACTGTGGATGGTTTATCTTCATTAGGCATTAACATAGATTTTGTAATGTATATAACATTTTCATGGTCTTGAACAGTAAACATGGTACATGGATATTGAAACTCGACAACTCCAACCGATTATTCACCTTCTAATTTTATAGCTTTTGGTAATTTCGTTGAAAAATTTGTGGTCTTGTTATCAGGAAAGTATTCCATTGAACTATTGCTGAGCAAAGTTAAATAGAAACTTTCTTTATTCATATTTCTTTTAAACTAGAAGCTAAAATCCAACTGTTAAATTTATCTGGATAACCTTTCCACTTCACTAATACTTCTTTTCTGTTACCTGAATAACGAGTGTCAATTATTTTATCTATTTTATGTTGTGAGGTGGGGTTGTAAGTGATTTTCTGTAATTCTCTTTCATAAAAAGTACCAATTATTGGTTCATTTTGTAAATCTGTTATTGTATAAACAACCCATGGAGATCTATCAATTATTGAAGATATAATAAATATTTCATCACTCCAATTTGATTCATATCCTTTTTGGAATACATGTTTATATTTAGTTATTCGAACATAATCACCCACATTGAAATTTGGTTTAGGATTTTCTAAAGAAAGTTTTTTTGACCGTCTATCATAAAGATTAGTCCAAACTGTCATAATATTGTTGGAATTTACATCACTTGGGCACATCTTAATACTAGAGTGAAAGCTGTGATTATAAGAGTATATTAAATCTTGTAAAACATCTATATATCTATAAGTATTATTATGAGTGAAATAACGCCACATTTTCATTTTTAGTGTTCTTTGAAATCGTTCAACAATACTAGCCTTAATGTCAGGATTGTTAGTGGTATAGTAATTAATCTTTTTGGATTTAAAGTATTTTTGTACATCTTTTGAAACAAATTCTGTAACTTTATCGGATTGTATGTGAGTAGGTGTTAAATTACTTTCAGTAAATATACTTTCAAAACATTCTTTAGTTGTTTCTGAGTTTTTCTTTTTCATTGGTCTTGCAAAAGCATATTTACTAAATACATCAATAATACAAAGTATATACTTGAAACCATCATTATATTGAGAATAAGTTCGCATATCACTTAAATCAGCTTGCCACAGTTCATTAATATTTGATAGAATGTACCTATTACGCGGGAATTTTTTTCATTTTATTTATTTATTTATTTATTTATTTAGAAAACCAACAGCGTATATAGAAAATATTAACATTAATGTAACAAACTTAAAGTATGGCCAATAACAGGTTTCCCTTATATTGTTTGATGGTAGGTGTATTGTTGTTAGAAGAAAAGAAAAAAGAACAATCTAATAGATAAATTATAAGCAAAATTATAAGCAATTCAATGTAATGAAGGTGGTCATAAGTTTACAGATCAGGAGAGATAGTCAGGTAGAATGATATATTACGTTACCTTTATATATATATAAATATATATATATATATATATAAACATATAAGATATATATATACATACATATATATTATTTACTTATGTATATACTTATGTATATATACATATTAAATGTTTAAATATATAAACATAATACAAATAATTAATTATAATATATATTAAATAAAATAACTTAAGTACTTATATTTATATTAGTAGCCTCAAAAATACATATAGAAGAAATAGATGAGAGAATATATGATTGTATGTGATTTTAACTTCAACTGCTCTATTTCGTAATAGTTTTCTTGATGTAATCTTTAAACGTAAGTTTAGATTTCGCAAAGAGGTCAATGTGTCCAAATTGTTCATTATATGTACGAGCAAGCCGCGAAAGAACAGTGTTTCGACAGTAGTTTGAATGATGCCAGGGAGTCTGTAACAATGTAGTATTGCGGGTACGGAATTTTGGAGTACGAAAGGTGATTCTTGAGACAAGATATGGACAGTCAATATTACTGTTTATTATATCATATAACAAAGCCATGTCAAGCAAAATGCGCCTGTGTTCCAGAGATAAGAGATTGTGCTCAGTGCAACTGTCTGTGTAAGTATCGATTTTATTCCGACAGCGAAAGTTAAGGTGATTAACAAATATTTTTTGAATACGCTCAAGGCGGCTTTTGTAGACATTGTACTGTGGAGACCATATTGAACTAGCATATTCCAAAACACTTCTGACATATGCAAAATAAACCATTTTAATTGTATTAATATTCGAGAATGGTTTACAGATGCGAAGAACAAAACCAAGATTTTTATAGGCTTTACTGATAACGTAATCAATGTGTTCGGATAGTATCATTTTATGATCAAAAATTACGCCTAAATCCCTAACACTTACTTTTCGGCTGATTTCTAATCCGTCAAAGTGATATTTATTTAGAATTGGCTTAGATTTCCGTGTAAAACTAATACATTCGCACTTGCTTGCATTGACAGTTATATTATTTATTTTGTAATATTCAAATAAACGGTCCAGGTCTTTTTGTATCAATAGGCAGTCATGTATGGTGTTAATTTTACAAAAAATCTTCTTATCATCTGCATACATGAGGTAATTTGTGTGTATAATGCACGAACCAATGTCATATAGGTAGGCATTGTAAAAAAGTGGACCTAAGTGAGAGCCCTGAGGAACACCTGTAGGTATGTTTATGTAGCTCGAACGGAAACCACCTATCACGACTGCTTGTGAGCGGTTTGTGAGATATGATTCAATCCATCGGAGCAAGTCACCGTGAATCCCTAATATTTGTAATTTGTTGAGCAGGATCATGTGATCCACACGATCAAAAGCTTTTTCAAAATCAGTGTAGATCACATCAACCTGCCCACCTTGATCCATATTTTCAAGGACAAAAGAAGAAAAACTTGCCAAGTTCGTAGTGGTGGATCGCCTTTGTAAAAAACCATGTTGCTGCTCAGGGAAGGCACGTAAAAGCGTGGAGTAAATTACGTTATATACTACTCGTTCAAGGATTTTAGCCGCGGTGTTCAAAATAGAAATGCCTCTATAATTATTTATTTCTGTACGTGATCCCTTCTTGTGTACAGGGATTATGTGTGCACACTTCCATTGATGCGGAAATATCCCTTCACGTAGAGAGCGATTAAATATAATAGTCAAGGGGAGAGCAAGTGATTTAGCGCATCGTGACCAAAAAAAAGAAGGTAACCCATCACTACCGGCACCTTTGTTCGTGTCCAAAGTTTTCAACATTTTTTCAATTATTGCAGCGTTTGTCTGTACATTAGAAACGGTGTCAGTACACAACGATTCCGTATGTGGATATATGTAGTTATTACTAGGAATACCAAATACACTCTTGAAGAATGAGTTGAAAGCATTGCATATGTCCATACCATCGGTGTACTCTATATCTTTCAAAGACATTTTCTTAGGGTAACCTGACCCACCCCGAATGGCTTTGACGAAAGTCCAGAATGTTTTAGGATGTGTTTTGATGCTATTTTCACAACTTGACGTAAATTTATTAAAGCATTCTCTCTGAACACGGTGTTCTCTTGCTCGGAGTAACGAAAACTCATCGTAATCTAATCTATTCCTGAATTTTTTCCAACGTGTGTGAGCATTGTTTTTCTCCTTAATTATTTTTATTAAAGCAGGTGTGTACCATTTAGGATATGATCGCTTCCCTGTGTTATAACTAAAAGGCACATGTAAACGAACACAACTATCCAGTATGTTATAAAAGGTATTTGTAGCTTCGTCTACAGTGTCTGTACATAAAAGAGACCTCCAGTCCTGTTCTAAAAGATATGTATTAATTTTTTCATATTCAGCCCTCCTGAAATTTCGCCTCGGCGCAGCTGTTTCCCGTAGAGGAGTAATGTTTAAATCCAAAACTATGAAGCAAAAAGAAGGATGTGCGTGGTACTCCCTGAGTAGCGGCGCAGCCGCAGGGATGATATTCAGAGGTAGATTAGAGAATGCAAGATCTAATGTGTTACCAGCATGATTTTTTAAAGTATTAAATTGTCTTAACCCGTGAAATGTTAGTGTTTCCATCAGCTGGATACTCG